CTCAAAGTCTCATTTCACAATTGAGAAAACTAAAGTTCTTCTTAGATCTGATATTTAACAATTCCATTTTAATTATTATTTAATTTTTAAACTCTAAGACCTTTCTTAACTGAATGAGGATAGAGAGGGCGACATGTTGCTACTGTTCCAGTCTCCCAGGAACATCTGTGGTTTGTGCTCGGCCCCAGTTGCCAGGAGACGTTTGTGTATGTTACACAGGAAATATATGGCCCTCCCCAATGGGGGACTGTTTTTCAGGTTGCACTTCAAGGAGAAAAGGTGTTTTTTGCATGAAAGAGAGTTTAAACCTCCTTTATGGAACCCTGTGCTCATATCTCTGTTGTAACTCCTCATCTCCATTGCCACAGCACAAAAAAAATAGTGGCGTCCTACGTTCTACAGCCACTAGAAATTTAAAAAAATACACAAGAGTTTTCAGCAACCCAGGGCACCTGGCCATGGCCAGGACTCTCTAGACTTAAGTTTTTAAAGTCAAAAGTGGGAATTACAGCTCAGATTGGGCTCTGTGAAGTCAGGACACGCCCCGCCCAAGGAGGATAGAGATGGAGCCAGGATGATGGCTTCAGACTGAAGACCTAGTGAGAGCTAGGGACTCCCTTCCTATACAGACATCCATGCATCAATGTGCGCAAGCACCCCTGCCATCTCTCCCCAAACTCAGCCAGCTATAGGAGCCTAAACTTGGACCTCCTGCAATGGACCAAATGCTGTACCTTTCCAAAATAATGATGTTGAAATTCTAACTCTCAATATGATTGTATTAGGAGGTAATTAGGTATGAGAGTGGAGACTTCACAAATAAGATTAGTGTTCTCTTGAGAGGAACCCCAGAGAGCTCTCTCACCCATTTTCCTGCCATGTGAAGATAGATAAAGTAGTCTGCAACCTGAAGGAGGACCTTCGCCAGAACCCCTCCATGTAGTCATCCTGATCTCAGACTTCCAGCTCTTGGTACTATGAGAAAAACTTTCTGTTGTTTACAAGCCATCCAGTCCATGGTCTATTTGTTACAGTAGCCTGAATGGGCTCAAACACCACTGTGCTTCGGGATGGCCTCTTTTTATATTTATTCCAGCCCAGTCACAGCTGAGTTGACTTTAGACCTGAGGGGCTGGAGCCCAAGTCAGCAGCTGTCCCCCAGGATTATCTCTGGCTGTGCACAGGTGACACATCAGATGTCCTTGGTCTTCCCCATCCAAGCAGGCATCGAAGAGCAGGGGAGCATGTGGACGGCTTGGGGACGGAGCCAAGTCAGGCGGGGTCTGCTTGGCGCACACTGACTTGGTGTTTAAACAAGCATCACCCAACAGCTAAAATCTGCTTTGGCCAGACATCCGTGTGCGAGCCCCAGCTTCCAGCAGGGAACAGCACTCAGCGGGCTCACAAAGGAGGCGTGAAGGAGACCAGATGGAGGTGTGCTGTGGCGACACCTGCCACATGGTGACCAAGGGCTTTGGTTTCCGTTTCCTTTCCCGGTCCAGACCAGCAGTAGGGGGTAGGAGGACTGGAGCCCTGGTTCTGAGTCCCACGGGTGACATGCTGGTGCCAGAGGGCAGATCTCCTGATAATGCAGGGTCTCAATTTTCTTGCCTGTGGCGCACATCGGGGAGGGGGATTCCAGGGTCTCTACCTCTGGCCGGAGCAAATTCTGATTCTCAAGGAACAAGGAGGAGGCAAGACCAGATAAGAGTCTCACTGCAGCTGTTTCTCCTTCAGGGTCGGGGCTGGGATGCCTGATACCCCAAACCGAGTGGTCCCTGCTACCGGCTTCTGCAGGCAGAAACGCGGGGGCTTTGTGGCAGGCAGCACCACTTGCCTCCTGTGCTGAACTTGAGTGCTCTTGAGTTTCTGCTCCCCAGAAAGATCAGTTTCCTGCCGACGTCATCACTTTAAGCCAGCAGAGACCTATCAGCGGCTCCATCAGGCACTGGAGGCCCCAGCCCCCCTCCTTGGCTCTAAGTCTGAGCCCTGGGAACACGGGGGAAACTTAATTCTCGAACACCTCCAACTCAAAGAGCCACTGTTCTGCAGCACCAGCGCCGGCCCCGTGTTTCAACAGCAGCTCTCTGTGGGGAGGGTTCCCCACCCCAGACGTCGATAGGGCCCACCGCGCCTGTGGATGTGTTGATCTGGCTTCAACCCCAGCTCCGTTTCAAAGCCTTGGCTGCCATCTGGGCCCGCCCTCATTCCGTCTCCGGCTGGGCTCCTGCGCGCCTCAGGCCGCCTCTCAGTGACTGGGAAGCTTTCTCCGCGTGTGGGTTTCCACCCAGCGGCTCCTGATGAGCCATTTCTCGTGGCAGGACGCCCACCACTTAGGGGAAACAGGCTTGGTTCTGGGAAGGTCTTGCTTCATCCCTCCTTTTTTCCCTGCCAGAGGTTGACATAAAGGGACACCAGATAGGCTACCGGAAGAAAGGGGTGCAGCCCTGCTCCTGTGGGTCCTTCCTGCTCCGGCGCTCGCTCCTCTGGACAGGTCATCTGTCCTCTGTGGATCTCGGTTTCCCCTTGGGCTAAGAGTAGCGGGTCAGTGGCTCTCACGGGAAGGAATACAAGTGCTTTGTCAATAGGAAGCACTCCATCGTGTTACCAAGGAACCCATTCCACAAGGAATATTTTGAACTTTTGCTGTTTCCCTTCTTGCGACGGAGAAATTAGCAGGCACAGATTGTGAAAAACCAGCCCTGTCTTTGTAATTACAAATGTGCACACATCCCACTGAGCATCATTTTCAGAAGGCATATTAAGCAGCAGAGACCACAGGGGGGACCCGTGTAAACAGGCCTCCTCAGATCCTGGCAAAAAAAAGCCTTGGAGGACGCAGTTGTTCCTGCGAGTTACTGGCTGTTCCTGCTTCTCCACCCCCGCCTCGCCCCGCTGCCTGGCTGCCGAGCGCTAGCTCCTGGATCATGGCGAGGGAGCCGGCTTGTGGTACTGTGCGGGGTCAGTGCTGTTCCGAGTCCACACCACACCTTCAAGACCCAGACACCCTGGCACTGGAGGCTTTCCAGAACCCCAGCCCTGGAAACCCTTCCTCGGTCCCAGGTGACCTCCTGTGTCCTCTCACGTTTCCGTCCCTGCAGCTCATGGGGAACGTGGCCTCCACCCACTGGGATGCTGAAGCGCCATGAGAGTCAGTATCCGGCTCAAGACTGGACGTCAGCCAGTTCTGATGTTGGACTTGAGGCCACGCCTCCAGAGCCCTCGCCAGCCCCTCATGCTCTGCGGCAGGTGCACAATGGAGACTGCGAAGTCGTGGACAGTAAAGAGCTTTGACCCGAGAGATGGGAACCAATCACTAATTAAAGCCCATGTTGGCTGGACCTAAAGGCCATGTTGGCTGGACCCCTGCTGTGTGTGAGTGAAGACTGCAGAGATCCAGTTCAGCCCCAGAGACCTCCTGGGGGGTGTAAGATAAGAGGAGGGGGCACCCTGGGCTGCCCTAGCAACTGAAGGTCCTGCTGGGCAGTTCTCTCTGTTCCCCCTAATGGTGACTCCCACTTGACCGGCTTCAAATGCCAGTTCCCTGAAGGTGGGCAAGGGGCCTGGGCATGGGTGACGCTGCCTAGCAGAAGCAGGCAGCAGGCAGCCCTCGAGTGCTGCAGGAGGGAGAGAAGAATATCATTCACCCCGGGGCTGGTTAATGGAAGGCTTCCCTGTTGACGGACGGGAGGGCGAAGATTAATTCTGAAGCAGGAATAGATGTTATTTAGGAAGGGAAGGGCATTCGAGACAGAGACGAGGTAAAAGACAGATCGATCATTCACCGGCAACGAACAGCAGAATCTGGCTGCAGCAGAGGGTGAAAGAAGCCGGGCTGGAGGAGGTGGGGAGGGAGGCAGCGGGTGGAGGAGGCTGAGGAGCAGACGGAGGCCATCCTGGAAAGCTAGGCTGGGTCTGAACTTGACCCTGAAGAGGGGAGGCAAGGAGAGTCTTTAGCAAGAAGTCATGTATTCAGAGGCAGGTTCTAGAAAAATCGCTCTCTGGGCAGGTGGGAGATATTCACCCCTGTCTGGGAACCCACCTCGGTTCTGGGTCCTCCTATCAAAGTGCTAATGGCAATCTGGTCACTCACATTCTGGGAGGCTCCTGGCCCAAGCCTGGTTGTGTCCTAGGAAGCAGCCCTGGTCTGTCTTCCCAGAAAGACCCAGTAATTAGAGCACAGCCCTGAGACACCAAGGCCTCAGAGAGCTCTGTGGTCGTGGACACTGATGGGATCCTGAGAAAGGGGACCCGGCCTTTCAGAGCAGGAGGCGCAAGCCCACCCAGATTGAGGTGGGTCTGCAAGAAGTCCTGGCTCAGGAAGGCAGTTGGAGACAAGTTCATGAGCCAGTCTGAGGAAATGGACACGGGTGCTGAGAGAGCTCTGAACCCAGACACCTGTGCACTCAGGGTGCCCAGAGCCACAGCCTTGGGGGACTTCCACACAGCTAGCCCTGGCTCCTCTGGCTGGGAGCACCTATTGGGTGCAGAACAAGGACAGGTGTTTTGCTTTGTTTTGTTTTGTTTGGGTTCTAGGGATTAAACTGGAGTGCTCTGCCGCTTAATGCCAATCCTTTTTTACCTTTTTAAGTGGCCCAGGCTGGTCTCAAACTTGCAATCCTCCTGTCTCCGCCCCCTAAGTCACTGGGATTATGTGTGCACCCAGGACCCAGCACCCAGAGGGTCTTAGACAACAGTGCTGCAGCACATGGGGCACCGGGCAGGGCAGGGGATTCTGCAGCTCAGGCTATCCGGAATGGAAGAACATCAGAGGCTCTCTGGAGGGGTCAAATCGGGCTTCCCTACTTGCATTTTGTAATGAGTTCCCTCCTGGAATTCCCACAAGAGAAACCCAGACACTAGGTCCCCACCCCCTTATCCATTTCTTGCTGGAACAAAAAGTCCAAGTAGCCGTACATTGCTTAATGACAGGGACAGTTTCTGAGAAGTGCGCCATTAGGCAATTTTGTCATTGTGCTAACATCCCAGAGTGTACTTACACAGATCTGGATGGGGGTAGGTCAGGCGCTGGACGTGGCCTCTTGATGCAATCCAGAGACGCAGTCAACAGGAGATGTGCAAGGGCTGCTGCCAGCAAAACAGGGCGTACCGTTTCACAGCAACCCGTTGTTGTTTTTTAAATAAGTGGACGGAGTGCACTGTAAAATAACCAAGTATGATATAGCAAACACACAGGCTGTAACCCAGTCCTTCAGGATCCTTATCAAGTGTCACGTCCCGTACGGAATCGTACGTGCTGTCCTTTCCTGTGCCTTGGCAACTGTGGGTTGGTTTACATCAGCATCACAACCAACACACGAGAAATGGTCCCACAGTGTTAGGACAGCAGCACATCACTAGGTGACAAGGTGATAGGGATCCAGTTCCACTGGAATCTGTGTGGGCATGCACACGGGCTCTGGAAATGGAGCCCGGGGCCTCACACGTGCAAGGCGAGTGCTGCACCCCTGAGAGCCACCCCAGCCCCCCACTGCAGTCTTAAGACACCACCCTTGTATGTGCCTGTCACTGAGACACCCCTACTACTGCCTTCTGGGATGGAGTGTGCAGTACGCAGCCTCTGAGAGGCCCCTCAGGATCCCCTCCTCCTGATATCCATCCCCATGTCACAGGAAGTCCCCTCCCATACTGTGTGACCAACTGCATCCCACAGAAGTGGTGGCTTCAAGTGCCAGGGGCAGGGTGGGACCTGCATCCTGGCTGTGCTCTGCCATGGACCCCACATTCAGGGGAAGCAAAAAGCCGCCACGTCAGGGACAGCACTGTGCAGAGCCCGCGGCACGAGGACCAGCGGCCTCTGCTGCTGCTGCGCAGAGTCTGGAAGCACATCTGCCCAGTTGTGCTGCAGGTGACCACAGCTTCAGCCAACATCATGACTGCCACTTCAGTTCTGGGAGAGAACCTCACCCAGAACCACCCATCGAGGCCCGTCAGATTCTGTTCCTGGGAAAGAGTCATTGCAAGCTGCTGAGTTTGGGGTAATTGGTGACGTCACCATGTATAAATACCACACCACCGGAAACATCTCAAGATCCTGAACAGGGCTTGAGATGGGCGTGGGTCAGGGTCCAGTCAACCTTGTGATCTTGGGCAGGTTCCTGAGCCTCCAGACTTGATCGCCTCATTTCTAAACATGGAGTAGTGGTGGGCCTCAGCTGTTGTGGTGGCGATTAGCTCAGGGAGTGGTGTGGGGCTTGTAGCCCTGGGTGAGCCCATACTACCTGCTCAATAAACAGGGCTAAGCATCCTCACCGGACCTCGACCTCTCCTTGCACCCACGGACTTTGTGCAAAATGGTCAACTTTCTACTCACTCATTCCCCAGCTCTGGGCTTTGCTGCCCCTTCCTGAAGGGCTGCTTCTGGTGGCCACCTTTTCACCCATCCCACACCTGTCACTGTTAGCCTTCCAGGTAGGCAGGTGTCAGCATC